TGTAGTTACGTTCTCAGGAATCCCACCTTTTAAAAATTATGCTATTAAAATACATGTTTTTGTGAGAAAAAAGGAGCCAGAGACTAGCGTTTCAGCGTCAAAGCAACAAAGCTTTTGGATTTCAGTGACAAAGGTTTTTCAAGGCTATATATGCATTTCGTTACTGTAAACTAAAATAATCCGATGGCTGATCACAGCAGACAACGGCACACCTGTGTCGTTTAGTTTCAGCAGGCTGAAACTGAAATTCAGGAGATCCAGCAAATGTCCCTGAATAAATCCTAATCAGAATACAACACAGGATAAAAACCAGGGCTTACTGAATAGGGTGAATCTACTGAAACTAAAATTTGTCATTCATTAGCAGTAGAAGGCCAGAGGGAAAGTCAACCAAAAATGAACGGGAAGTAGGGCAAGTTACAATACAGTCTCACTCATCCTGGTTATCTGCCAAGCCTAGCACAATGCTTAACAATTATTAGAAGAATTAGATAAAAAGAAAATAAAAAAGCTACTTAGAATGACTGGCAATGTAGAGAGACCATTAAAGCCTGCAGTTGAACAAACCAGGAAGATGGGTACGTTTCTTGAATTCTAAAGTTCAGTATAAGAAATGTTTCAAAAGCGAGGATCCCATGCTGACACCAACTTCCCCTTCAGACAACAAACACGGGTGGCTGGCAAAAGAGACCGGAAATGAGGAATATTTACCTCAGAAACTTTTACAAGACCTGCAGACGCATAGTAGTTTGCCACAATGCAGGCACGAAGTTTATCCATCATCCTTCTTGCCTCGATCAGTCGCTAAAAACAGACAGTAGCTCATTACTTTAACGGCAATGACGAGAGATGCACAAACAATTCACAAAATAAATGCAAGGGAACACACACGCACAGAAAGCTCGACTTCTCTAATAATCAAAGAAAGACAAATGAAAACATTGACACTTGCCACCTAATGAGGAGAGCCGTTTCTGAAAGAAGAGCAGAGGGCAGAATCCAACCACAGCTCTATCTCAACAGATTTCTTCCTATTTTTCAACAGCTTCCCTCCCCCACATTTATCATCCTCATACCTGGTCAATGACTTCAATTTCATGCTCCTTATTCTTCATTTCAAGGGCAAATTGTTCCTTGATAATAGTCTCGATCTTCTGTACGGCAGCATCTCGAGCTGTATGAAAATATCACAATGCATGTTTATTTATAAAGGATATAAATAAACATTAATAAATTTCAGTAATAACTTTTTTAAAAAAAGCAAATGTAGCAATTTTTTGAGACATTCTGGGTAACTGTAAAACCATAGTTGATGATTTGTTCTCAACTAGTCAGACATCTCGGGCAATTTACCACCTCCCCCCCGGCAGGCAGTGCAGAGACTGAGCCTGGTCAATGCGTCCCACGCGTCACTAAATCCATGTGTCCCACATTTCCATCATTCCACCTTCAAGATACTGACCACATCTGAGAACCATGTCAAACATCTAATTAACACAAATAATATTTTAAAATAATTTTAGCCGTATCCTGAGCAACAGCAGTCACGAAACCTCAAGCTTGGTGAGATCATTAACTTTTCTATACACGTTAAAATAATATATAACTGTAAAAATAACAATGTTGGTCCACGTATAATGACCCTCATCTCGCGTGACTGTACCACAGCGTAGAACACAAACTACACGTGGCAAAAACTGACCTAGGTAAAACCTACAGGCCTCCTAAGTTTTTATGATTATACCTAACACACAACGACAGTTACCTGTAGCCTGTCTCACCACTGACATTTTTACCCTCTACCTCACTGTGTTCCCACCAGATCCTCTTCTGCCTTTTATGCCACACTGGTATGTTACTATTAAACAAAGTACTTAGCTAATCCCTCTCACAAAACCCTCGAAATTATACACAGGAATGGAAACACATTTCTGGAGACCCATGTCAACAAAAAAAATCAATTAAGTTCCTAAGGCAAATCCATTTCTACCTGAATTCTCAATTGCTTTATGCCGTTTATTCGGAAGGGCGACAGATATATCCTCATAATCAGGGTCGGTTTCCTTGATGGTTCGCTTGACTCCAGACATGATGACGTTCAGTTCTTCACTGTGAAGCAATAATAATAAATCAATCAATAAATAATATTGGGTGATACTAGTACTTACAGGAAGGAGCCCTGGTGGTCCGACGGTTAAGTGCTCAGCTGCTAACCAAAAGATCGGCGGTTTGAACCCACCAGTTCTGTGGGAGAAAAGACCTGGTGATCTGCTCCCATGACGACTACAGCCTAGGAAACCCTACGGGGCAGTTCTACTCTGTCCTATAAGGTCACTAAGAGTCAGAGTCAACACAACAGCATACAACAGCAACAATGATACTTATAGGACTACGTGTGCATATATGCACAGGGAATATATAAATATCACATGATACTAATACTTGTAAGTCTGTGTGTATATATGTACAATAAAGGTCTTTCATATCCCTTTTAAAGTCAAAAGCATAAGCAAAGACTGAAAGCCATAAGCCTACCTCCAAAAGTTTACTGAAGAAAAAAAGGTAAAAGCAATAATCATCTGTTAAAAAGCATGTGTTCCCCTTTCAAAGGAAAATCCTTTAGCAAGGCAGCTGTAAAAACAGCAAAACAGTGTTCGACCTCTAACTTCACCAGGGGAAGAGAATCACCATCAACATCAGGCTGATTCACAAGAGGTGGAGGTCAGACCTACCTCCTCTCTCCAACCTTTTTACCAATTTTGACACTAGTCGTCCCTCCCACAGCACTTTCTACTTCTCTACTTGGGTTCAATAGTTCGTTGTAATGGCCACACAGAACCCACAGACGATACTTGCTATTATGAAGTTTCTTAGGGAAGGAACAGGTTACAATTCAGGATCAGGAAGGACTGAGGATAAGGTTCTTCAATCCAGACAGCTCCTCCTCACACAAGCATTACAAAGCTCTTTCGCTCCGCCAGTAAGTGCCCAGGCACCCCATTCTGGTAAGCCTTGGCTCGAAGGCGCTCAGCTCTCTCACTCATTGGGGCGACAAACCCACTCTAGCTGCCTCACTCTGTGGCCGGGAAGCCCACCACGCCATCTCGCTCTGGTCTCCTGGTTCTGCTGCCGCCACTTCTCTGCTGCTACTTCTCACCATCTCCAGTGTTACAGATCTGTCTCCTGGGTCTAAGAGGTTGTCAGTGCAGGGACCCAGGTCCAAAGGACACACTCCACTCACGGCTCTTTTTCTTGGTGGTAGGGAGGTCCTCTCTTCTCGCCTCAGGGATGGCTCATTTTAAGCCTAGTGGGATGGCAAACCGACCAATCCCCTCATCAGGGTTCCATACAATTTATTTGCATAGTCCCACAACCACAACTTCTGCAGTCTGGGGAACTGATCAAACACGCAATCAAGACGCACTGATGATCACTGGCGACTGGAACACAAAGACTAGAAACAAAGAAGGGTCTGTACTTGGAAAATACGGCCTTGGTGAAACAGACAACATCGGGGATCCCATGACAGAACTGTGCAAGACCAACGACTTAATAATTGCAAATATCTTTTCTCAACAACATAAAACAGCAACTATACGTGTGGACTTCGTCAGATGGAATACACAGGAACTAAATCATCTATATCTGTGGAAAAAGATGATGGAAAAGCAAGGCCAGGGGCTGACTACAGAACAGACCATCAACTGCTCACATTCAAGTTCAAAGTGAAGCTGAAGAAAATTAAAACAAATCCATGAGAGCCAAAGTATGACTCTGAGTATGTCCCACCTGAATTTAGAGACCATCTCAAGAACAGATTTGACGCACTGAACACTAATGACCAAAGACCAGATGAGTTGGGGGACATCGAGGCCATCATACATGAAGAAAACAAAAGGTCATTAAAAAGACAGGAAAGATAAAAGACCAAAATGGATGCCAGATGAAACTCTGAAACTTGGTCTTGAACACGGATGTTAGATGGATCTTGGCTGAAAGCAGAGAATACCAGAAAGAACTTTACCTGTGTTTTACTGACTACGCAAAGGCAATCGACTGTGTGGATCATAACAAATTATTGATAACACTGTGAAGAATGGGAATTCCAGAACACTTAATTGTGCTCATGTGGAACATATAACATATAACAAAGGCAAAAATACACAATACCTATTTACCGAGAAAATAAAAAGTTTAAAAATGAAATTTATGAAAATAAAATGTTAACCCAAGATTATTTTTTATTCTTGCAAGGTTAAAGAAGAATTAACAACGTAAAGGTCCCTCAGCTCTCAGTCTAGTTCTTTCACCCATCTCATGGACAGACTCACCTGAGTCAGCTAGGAGAGAGAGTCATATGTAATACTGCATTTGTAAACCCTGGATCTGAGAGAGCATTTTTCCTACAATTGTTATCTTGTAAAATAATCCCGAAGCTTAAAAATGTTCTAAAACCTCCCCCAAGCATTTATACACATCGTACATCAAGCCATTTGAGGTTTTTTTCACAGTCATAAATTAACTACTATAATTTAAATATGAGTATTTCTGGCAAGGCCCCAACTCCACCTATTAATTATCTGTTCCTAAAGCTCATAAGAAGTGAGCTGAGGTCGTCTTCTTCCAGCCTTCCCCTTCCGGTCTGCAATTAAATTTAGACAATCCAAGAAATCTTGAGAAGTCATATAAACAACACATTCTTCTTTGTAGGAGGAGGGTTTTCATCACCTTTTATTATACAAAATAGAATTCCCTCTCTGTTACACACTCATCCTTTCCATAAATCTGGCTTTAAGGAAGCCCAGGGGGTACAGTCAAATACACTACTTCGATTTTCCTCTCAGTGAATCCATGCCTTAAATGCAGTCTGAATCCTCGCAAAGGACAAAGTGCGCATGGACCACCTCAGATCTGCCCACAGGATGGTCTCCAGGCTGCCACCAAAGGGGCGCTCCCTTCATCTGCGTGTGGCTGGGAGGGGCAATCAAGGCCACAGGTCAACGAGGCATCAGCAGCCATTTCCAGCAGCACAGAGCCATTGCTCCCAACCAGTCCTCTGGGGATGGGCCTGTGTGGCCAGGTGGCCGAGCCGTCCCCAGCTAGCCTGGGAAGTCCAGTCTGCAGCCAGCCATCCCGTTTCTCTTTGGACAGGCCTGGACCAGTGCCTTAAAGGATCTCTGTGTCCACAGTATAAATCTGAATGAGATCAGACATAATATTATCAATGGTTGGCTTAGAAAAGAGAAGGAAAACAGGTTCCAATTAGACTCACTGTGTGTCAAACCAGGTCACCAACCACTAAACCAAGAACTGCATTTCATCAACAAAAAGGAGGGCATGAGGGCTTGGCTATGCGCACAACGGTGGTTCTCTTGCAAAGCCAGTTCAGTTCCAGCCTGCTTGAGGCCAAAGACTTAAGCAGAGAATATTCCAGATGGACAGGGGACCTGTCCAAGGCCACGCAGGGAACTGATGACAGAGCTGGGCCTGGAGCCCAGTCCTGGGAGGTGACTTCTAAGCCCTTGGAATATCCTCCCTGGTTAAGAGTGCCTCTGTATACGTGAAGGCTTGGACCACGCCAAACAGTCTATGCCAACAGTGGGATTCATGATCGGGAACTCGGACCACCCCAGTCTACGCCAATAATGGGATTGATGGTGGCGGCCTTGGGCCTCATGGTAGCAGCTTGACCTGTGGGGGACTAGAGTGTGAGTAACCAAGGTCAGCCACGTGGGTACTCCATGCTTACATGACCAACCCCCAATAAAACCCTGGACACCAAGGCTTGGCTGAGCTTCCCTGGCTGGTAATATTCACGTGTGCTGTCACACATTGTTGCTGGGAGAAGCAAGCACTGTCTGTACAACTCCACGGGGAGAAGACCATCAGAAGCTCACGCCTGGGCTCTCCTGGACTCTGTCCTATGCACCTCTTCCCTTTGCTGGTTTTAATCTGTACCCTTTCGCTGTAATAAACTGTAACCGTGAGTATAATAGCTTTTCTGAGTTCTATGAGTCCTTCTAGTGAATCACGAGCCTGAGAGTGGTCTTAGGGACCCCTGACAAGAAGGAAAGCAAAAACCAAAGCAATGAGCCCTTCATCAGATGCTGTGACCACCCAGGCCGGGGGTGGTGGTGGTGTTGCTGCCTGGGGAACAAAGGCACTAACGAGGGACACAAGTCAAGGCCTTGGGCCAAGCCAAGGAGGGAACCGGACCTGTGACTATCCTCCTCCTCCTCCCCCCCAAAAAAGCCAGGACCATAAAAGGCTGCAACCTCAGTGAGATGCTGATCTAGACACTTCTGGGCAATGGCTCAGGAGGTTGAGCTGTCTCGCCCTGGGCTCTGAAGGGAAAACAAATACTTCAGAAATAGGGTTTGCTCAGCAGAGTCCACTCACTACCTACGTGGTCCTGAAATCCCAAGGCAAGAAATGACTGTTAAAAAGTAGTCCAGGGCAGCTGACAACCCTGGGGCACCTGGCAGAAGAAAGGCAACAGTCTGTGCAGGGAGACACAGCCAAGCCCTCAGAGGAGGCACGGCTGGCAGCAGGAGCCACGAGGCCTGACAACGCCACCGCACCTCACACTCAGGAAGGTCTCCCTCCTATACAGGGACAACAAATCTGCTGGTAGGACAGAAAGCAGAGGTGCCCAGAAATCAGTTCAGAAAACACAGGCACGGAAGCTGGGAACAGGTCAGTCTACTGGCTGGATACAGCCTCAGGGGAGAGGTGAGCCTGGGCTGTGGCCAGACAGACAAGGGAACCGTCGTTTTTTGGCTGTGTAGGCATCAGCCAAGGAAAAGGGCGTGTCAAGAAAGCTTCAACTTTCAAGAGGGTGGGCAGGGGAGGTGGCACTGCGATGGGGTACGTGAGCCAAGACCTGCAGGAGGGGAGGAAGGCATCTGGGAAGTCTGGGGAAGAGCTCCTGGACCGAGGTTTGTTAGCTCTGATCTAGTCCGAGTTCCCAGTCAATGCACAGGATGGGCAGAGAATGATCTGGCCCAAGGTCCACAGTGCCGAAGTAGAGAAACCCTGCATTAGACCATGATAACAGCTCCAATATTCCCGAGCATCCCACGTCGTCATGGATAATGAATGAAAAGAACGTGAACATTCAGAAAAGGGTGCTCCGGGAAGTCCTTGGAAAAAGGCAGGGCGCACACACTCCAGACTAGCCATGTGCGGAGCAGCCGCCTCACCTGCCACCAT